AAATATTTTTGAAAGAACACTAAAATGGTAAATATTTTTTCAATAATTCTATTATGGTTAAAAACTCTTGATTCTATTATTTATACAAAACCTATTTATTTATTTATTTTTTTTAAATCCAGAGAGTATTGAGCATAACATCAAACACTAAATAAGTATAACAACAACCATATTTCAAATTGAAGACTTAAAGTCTACAACATACTAAAAAAAGAACAACAACAAATATTGTTCAAAGTAACATAAAAACTCAATCACCACAATTTTCATCCATCTCCTCGGTCTCGTTGGTTGGGTCGCGAGTATTTTATGAAAACATAATGTGATTGAATTGAAATTATGGCATTGGTGGTGGTTGGAAATTATGAATTACGGTCGCCAATAAGTTATTATACCATTTATTTCATTATTTGCAAGTATTGTTGCATTTTTAGGTTAATGTAACAAATTAGGTATTATCCATATTTTGATATAGATTAAGTACTTGATGTATTTAGTACTAGAAGAGAAAAATTAGAAGAACTCTTGATGAGATAAAGAGATAGATTGTCTGAAAGACCCCAACTTTCGTATTTTTAAAAGACCCAAACTTTCATACTTCACAATATCATTACTCCAAAACATGCTACTTGCATATTCATAAAAGCAATATTTTATATAATTATGTTGATAAAGGGATTACAAACTATTGGATACAAACCGTCTATTACAAAGTGTTATATATATTACATAACTACCCAGGATATTGTAATTTATACAAACATAAACTGAAGTACAAAAGTACTATTACAAACTATTCTAAATCTTTCAACAGTATGTGAACATACTAGTTACTTATCACCTGCAATTGTTAAACATTGATAGGGTAAGCGGTGACGCTTAGTGAGTTCAATAATAGATACAATATAACGTTATGTCATATATATACTTCAATGTGGAAAAAGCAAAGAAGAGTAACAAGACATATGTGAGATCATGTGACAAGCGTTCATATCAATCAAAGACTTTATTCAAAGATATACTTTTCAATTGTTGATATACATCAATAAAACTTTGGCCCAAATGGCATAGAATACATTTCCACCAATCATGTCTCTTTGATGGTGAGTGTTACAATTTCCATGACCCCCGTAACCACCGGATGTACTTCCTCTTCCACCAGTAGTACCTCCTCTTCCTTGACCTCTGCCTTGTCCTCGTGAAATGCTAAGCCCACCACAGTTTTCCTTGTGAAAGGACCTGTAATCATCTTCCGATTTCTTCTTATTTCCATCTATCCTTTCTCGATGGGTCAAGATAAGCTTCCACTCTTCATTTTTCACCGTGACCCTTTATCCGTTCTTCATGTGCTTTTAGCCACCCTATTACTTCTTCAACTATGTTAGTACGTAGCTTCTTCACCTCATAAGGCTCTTCTACCGTATCTCCCAAATCTCGGATGATACTCACAATGTTGCTCACTTTCGCAACGAACTCGTCTACAGCCTCCGATTCTTTCATGTTCAACGCCTCAAACTCTGCCTTCAAGTTTTGAACTCTTGTTGTCTGTACTCTATCCTGTTAACCTTAAGACCTGTTAGACACTCTCACACACTTGCACTCAGCAAAGTAAGCAAAGCAAAACCCAGAAGAAGATTTGGTTACACACAACTGATGTGTATTATTCTCTAAAGACTTGAATACATAAAGGAAAATATCACACGCCTTATAGACACTACAAGGAACGTGGATCAACAAGCTAGGAAACTGAAAGCAACTTCTAAACAGTTTTTGACTAAGAAAATAACTAAACGGAGAATAAAGAAAAACATAAACTAATAAAAGTGGGTTAGGTCTTCTAATGCTTTGAGGTGTTGTACGATCAATACTCCCCCTCAACACCTACTTCCACCATTCCAATTTCATCACATAGTTCAATCAATCTAGCTCCAGGAAGACCTTTTATGAGACAATCTGCAAGCTATTATGTGGTTCTAACATACCTCAATCCAGTTCTTCTTGAAGCACCTTTTCTTGAATAAAATGATAGTGGATTTCAATACGTTTGGTCCTTGCATGAAATGTGGGATTTTCAGCAAGCTTTATTGCCGAGAGATTGTCACAATACAGTGGTATGCTGTAATCAAATTGTTGATTAAGATTCTCCAACAATTGTACCAACCAAACACACTCTTGAGCTGCCATGGCTGCAGCACGGTATTCTGCTTCCGTGGTTGAGAGCGACACATTTGGTTGTCTCTTACTAACCCAAGATATAGTACTGGAACCCAACATGAAAACATACCCAGTAGTGGACCTGCGAGTATCAACATCTCCCGCATAATTAGCATCACAATAGCCTTGTAATCTGCAACTTGTATCTTTCTTGAACATGACACCACAACTCATCGTGGATTTGATATATCTCAGCACCCTTCGAGCAACCTCCAGATGAGGTTTTCTTGGTTTCTACATAAAACGGATGAGAACACCCACAGTAAAAGCTAAATCTGGCTTGGTTAAGGTTAGGTAGATTAAACTACCAAATATCTTGATGTATATTGTTGGGTCTTCCAGCTCTCTTCCAACATCCAAGCTTAACTTGACATTTGTATCTATTGGAGTCACAGTGGGTTTGTTGTTCAACATTCCAAATTTCTTGAGTAAATCAAAAGAATACTTCTTTTGATGTAGAACAATACAGTGCTTTTATAACTCAACTCCGGACTAAGAAAGTGGCTTAGTTTGCCCAAATCCTTCATGTGATAATGGATGCAAAGATTTTCTTTCAATTGTGAAATCATCTCAGTGTGATCACCTATTCTGATAAGATCATCCACATACACTAGCACAACTACCACCTTACTGTTCTTTCTTTTCACAAACAAACTTGCATCAGCTGAGGTTATAACAAAACCATTATACTCAAGAAATTCAGCTATTTTCCCAAACCATGCTCTAGGTGGCTGTTTTAAATCGTATAGTGCTTTCTTGAGTTTACATACATGATTAGGATGTGTACCACTTATACACCCTAATGGAAGATCCATTTATAACTTGATCGAACTCCCTATACAGAAATATGTTGCTCACATCCATTTACCACAAGTTCCACTTCTTGTTTGATGCCAAAGCTAAAATAACTTGCATAGTGGTTTGCTTAGCCACTGGGCTGAAGGTATCTTCATAATCCAACCCATATTCTTGTGAGAAACCTCATGCTACCAACCTTTCTTTCAATCATTCTACTGATCCATCAACCTTTCGCTTCACTTTGTACACCCACTTACATGAAATGGGTTTCACATCACTAGGTTTTGGGGTCAACTCCCAAGTTTGGTTTCTCATGAGTGCATCATATTCTTGATTCATAGCTAAGATCCATCCTTCCATAACACTTGCTTGTTTAAACGTTTCAGGCTCAACTGTATCATCTTCAATAATTGTTGCATTTGCATACTTTGGATTAGGTTTTTTCAAACGAGTAGACCTACGCAAGCTTGAGGGTTCTGTTGCTTGTTCATCTGCATTTGTGGACTGAAAAACTCCACTCTGCCATGGTGTTGCCTAGTTGCTGGTGGTTCTTCATCTACTACCACAAGTCTGAACATCACCTAATATTAAATTAATATTAGATGATTCAAGTTCTCCGTTGTGTACATCGGTATCTGGTAGAATCTCATGGTTAACTGACCACCATGATGACCTGTCATCAAAAACAACATTTCGTGACTCATAGCACTTTCCAGTTCCTGGTTCACAACAACGCAATCCCTTTCTTTCTTTATCATACCCTATGAAAATACAATGAACATCTTTCTTTTCCATTTTGCTACGTAGGTGGTTATGAACAAACACATAACACACATAGCAGTAATTCCACCATGAACCTGGATGCTCTGATACCAGATTGTTAACCTTAAGACTTGTTAGACACTCTCACACACTTGCACTCAGCAAAGCAAAACACAGAAGAAGATTTGGTTACACACAACTGATGTGTATTATTCTCTGAAGAATTAAATACATAAAGAAAAATATCACACGCCTAATAGACACTACAAGGATCGTGGACAATAAGCTAGGAAACTGAAAGCAACTTCTAAATATTTTTTGACTAAGAAAATAACTAAACAAAGAATAAAGAAAAACATAAACTAATAAAAGTGGGCCAGGTCTTCTAATGCTTTGAGGTGTTGTACGTTCAATATATCCGCCCCCATGAACATTGTTTTCAAGGATTCCCATGCTTCCTTGGCCGTTTGCTTCTCCACTAACGCTGACAACAAATCTCTTCAGGTATGCCTGGATTGGTAGTCGCCAACACCATCTTATCTTTCTTTTAGTTTGATAACAATGTTTGATGTTTTGGGCTCAACATCATCCCAAACACCTTGAGCTTGCAAAAGCATCCTCATTTTTATTGCCCATGCGGCGTAATTATTTTTGGATAGCATCGGATAGTCGAGTGTAACCTGACTTTCTTTCTCGATCACCCATATGTGACACTCAAGGTTGATATTTGGGCATACACCAAGTTGGTGCTCGCTCTCATAGCAAATGTTGACTTTTACACAATAGGTACAGTACTCAAGGGTTTAAAGCAAAACACAACAGGGCAAAATCTCCACATTTTTATTCAGTTCAGGAAGACGACAAATTGGATAAAACCAATACTTACACTTTACCCTTTTTTTTAAACTAAAAAAAAGAAACCCATAAGATAAGGAAACATACTATCGTATCGGCCCATGAGCATGAGCCTACAGCCAACATGGTTTTGAATTATTCAAACCTTCTAGACTTGGTAAAACAGTAAGTCATGAAGTAAATAAAACATGCAGTAAAATCAGGATTATGACAATAGAACCGTCCGTTAAAATGTATTTTGTTGTATTCCAAAAGAGCCAGAGGTAACCTCATTACCGACGTAGCATGTGGGGTGTGGTGCTGATGTCGACGACCAAATGCATGCTCCTGTCTAAGTCCAAATTCTGGAGCAAAATCTTGGAGAAGTAGAACCACTCATCAGGTCAACTCTTACCCTCACAGCCTTCTTTGACAAAAATAATATATTTCAAATAAATTAACAATTTGCAGTTGAAGAAAAAATAAATTAACAATTCTCCAAAGCAAACTACAATGGAGATCCTTCATTATTTCTTATTTTTGGGTCTCCTGATGTCTGATTTAGGAATTGGTAGGGCACAAGACACCATAGCAGCTAATCAAACTCTCCGTGAAGGGGATACCCTTGTTTCAGCCGATGAAATGTATGAACTCGGGTTTTTCAGTCTGGGAAACATTACAAAGCGGTATTTGGGGATATGGTACAAGAACAAATCCCCACTGACAGTGGCGTGGGTTGCTAACAGGGAGACACCAATAACCGACTTGTCAGGTGTCTTCAGAGTACACACCAACGGATCTCTATTGGTTATCGCTGGTAGCAACAACACCACTGTCTGGTCATCTAACCCTGGCCCGGTATCTCCGACAACCAGAAATCCGGTGGCACAACTTTTGAACCCTGGAAATCTTGTTGTTAGAGATCAAAGTGGCGAAGGAAGTTTCATTTGGCAAAGTTTTGATCACCCTGGAGACATGTTCCTTCCCGGGATAAAATTAGGGAAGGACCTGGTCTCTGGGTTAGATAGGCGGTTGTCGTCATGGAAGAGCCTCGACGACCCTTCACCTGGCCTGTTTGAAGCGGTGATGAATACAAACGGGTACCCACAATTGTGGGTAGAAAGAGATTCTGTTCCTTACTCGAGGTTTGGACCATGGAATGGTGTTACGTTCAATGGCATTCCTAGTCATATTTCAGACTCCATATTCACACAAGACTTTGTTATGAATGATAAGGAGGTGTACTATTGGTTCAAACTTGTTAACAGTTCAGTCGTGACCCGCATCTACTTCAGTCCAGAAGGCATCCCGTTGCGAATGAACTGGAATGAACGAACACAGATGTGGTTCCTATACTCTAGCGCCAATATCGACATGTGTAGCCTTTTCGCTCTATGTGGTTCCAATGGAAAGTGCGACCCTCAGAACACACCTCTTTGTAGTTGTATGGAAGGGTTCGAACCACGAAACCCAGATGAATGGAGTGCGTCCCAGTGGTCAAGTGGGTGTCGCCGTAGAACAGCTTTAAGTTGTCCAAATGGGGATGGTTTTCGTGTGTTTAAAAACGTTAAATTGCCAGATACTCGGCGTGCATGGTTCAATAGGAGCATGACACTTGGCGAATGTGAGACAGCATGCAAGCAGAATTGCTCGTGTAACGCGTATTCGAATATGGATATTCGAATGAACGGAAGCGGATGCTTGCTGTGGTTCGATGATCTAATGGACATCCGAACAGTGGAAGAAAGCCAGGACCTTTTCGTAAGAATGGCTGTCTCCGACTTGACAAGTAAGCTGATATTTCATGATAAATTGATAATAAACAATTTTCAAAGTTCCAGTTCGGGTTTTTAATATGTATTTTTTTTTGACAATGTTACCGGTTCTTTCAACTAATAGCAGTTCATGTGCGTTCAAGGTTTCAAACATTATTGACTTGTTATGGTTTTGCTGATAGCTCCATCAATCCCTGGATTTACCTCCAGACATGGCTCCAACAAAAAGAGGCAAACAATCATAGTGGTGGTGTCGATTTTATCTATTGTTGTAATGGTGATATTGATTTTAGCAATCCTGAATGGTTGGAGAAAAAAGAAAAGATCCCAAGTGAAAATACCAGGTAATTCTTTGATTATTTTGGTTATTTATAGATTAAATGTCAAAAATAATAAATTGAAATGTGAATCGTTCATTAACATATTGTTACCATTTGCTATGATGTACCAGTGCAAACCATTGATGAAGAGTATATCATGGAGAGCCAAGATGATGATACAGAGTTAAAGTCTTTTGGCCTGACTAAGATATGGAAATCCACTAATGATTTTGCAAATGATAAAAAACTTGGAGAAGGTGGTTTTGGTCCGGTTTACAAGGTAAGACACTTAACAGCCACACGTAGTTCTTTTTATTCACATAAATGTTTCATTGATTTTATATTTGTTAAACAGAATCTAATTTTTTGTTCAATATGTGAAATACCCTTTGATCTATAGGGCGTGCTGGATGACGAACGAGAAATAGCTGTGAAAAGATTATCCAAAACTTCAAGACAAGGTGTTGAAGAGTTTAAAAATGAAGTTAAATTCATTGCTAAGCTTCAACATCGAAATCTTGTAAAGCTTTTGGGATACTGTATTCAAGGAGATGAAAAGATGTTAATATATGAGTACATGCCTAACAAAAGTTTGGACTCGTTCATATTTGGTACAAATCTACTTTATATGACACATGTTTCTTGCCTTGATTGTTAGCTTTTTGATTATTTCTTAAGGTAAATCATACTGATAACTTATATTCAGCAGATAAAATCAAAAGTTCGATACTAGGTTGGTCAGATCGTTTTCACATCATTCATGGGATTGCTCGAGGACTCCTTTATCTTCATCAAGATTCACGATTTAAAATTGTTCATCGAGATCTCAAAACAAGCAATATTTTGCTGGATGGTGACATGAACCCAAAGATATCAGACTTTGGTCTTGCAAGAATGTTTAGAGAACATGAAAATGAGGCAAATACGAACAATGTAGTTGGAACTTTGTAAGAATTCATAAATCAACCGTGCAACTTTCTTTATAAATTTTACTTCTACAAGTCAAATGTTTAAACCTCCATAAATTTTCCTTCAGGGGTTACATAGCACCAGAATATGCTGTAGATGGGATTTTCTCGGAAAAATCAGATGTCTTTAGTTTTGGTGTTCTCGTGTTGGAAATTGTAAGTGGGAAAAAAAATAGAGGATTTTCTCATCAGAATGACAGTGATAATCTTCTTGCACATGTAAGTTTTGTAACGATTTAATGGGTTTTTTTTAGTTGTTGGACTCAACACATTAGTGTTTTCTTTTAACATTCAAACTTTCCTCATCAACTTACAACTATTTGCAAATTTGTCCATCAATTTTTTCTTCTGCTTCTCCAATGCGATTACTCTTTTAAATATCATAGAATAAAATTTAGTTTACATAGAAGATGACTGTTGTTGTGGCTTATTTTGGTTTTTTAGGCATGGAGACTTTTCGAAGGAGGCATGGCAATGGAGCTGCTTGCTGCACATATGCACGAGTCATGTGTAGCCTCCGAAGTACTTCGGTCAATACATATTGGTCTTTTATGTGCCCAACATTTTGCAAAAGATAGACCAACTATGTCATCTGTCGTTTTGATGTTTGATAAAGAAGGTGCATTGCCTCAACCTAAACAACCTGCATTTTTTGCTAAAGGAAGTTTGCCTCAACTTAATCTAGCTTCTGTCAATGACATCACGATGACAACATTAGAACCTCGATAATATCTGTTCATATCAAGGTCCATTTGGTGATCATAATACCAAGTTTTCATGTTCACGTATATTATAGACGTATCAACCTACTTATTGTAAAATATATGGGTTGTATGTATGTTTTGCAAACATAATAAGATTGTTAACTGGTGACTTAGGTATCCACAATGCACTAAACTACACTATTACAAATTATAACATTATCATTATACTTTTCATAAAATTCTACCCTTTTTTGATAAAAATACATTGAACTTTACAAAAGTTCAATGAAACATATTTAATAGAACTCTTTATGACATCGCATTCCATATCATTGAAAAAAAATATCATTGAAATATTTAATGACCATTAAACTCCTCTCTACCAAAGGGCTTTTGGCATAACGATATAAATTGTTTGAAAATACATCTCTCCCATAAGGGGATCGGGTTCAAGTCCCATAGTAAACAAATGTGTAGTCTGGTACTAAGATTATTTAGAGAGTGAATATGTGTGTGTGTTCTCAGATTTTCTTTAACTAAAATCGGATTATACCATTTCATTTCAAAATAAGTTAATGCATATCAATTTAAAAAATATAAACTTCATTGTGAAAAGTCAAATAGACACCCCAATTAGGTTGAATTTAATACATTGAATGTCAGCCGAGCATTCCACCTTATCTATCTCTTTTATGAAATTATAAATTAAAGATGCTCTTAGTTTCATGAAGGCTCTAAATGGCGTGAGAAGTGAAGTGACAAAAATGTTAAGCTTCAAACTTAACAAGTCATATATTACAAGAAATATGAGCATTAGGGAGGTCACCTTTAGCGGCGACATCAAATCCGACACACTTGATGCCACCACTGAAGGAGGCGTTGAAGGCCGACCCAAAGGAAGGGGATAACATCGGGCTAGGGCCTAGGTGGTATCAAGTGTTCAAGAGTGTTATGTGTATGTATAGGAACAAACTTTTTATAAAAATAGCTTTTAAACATTTTGGTATACACTGGTACTCTGGAGCACAAGAGGCTATCACCAGGAATCGGACCGGAGATAAGTATATGATCCGAGTCGGGCGCTACTACATTTAACCTATAAAACAAACACAATAAGTCACACGGTTTAGTGAATAACAATTACAGTAGTATAAATCATACAACTACACAAATAACACATAGTTCAACTAAACAGTGCAATCACATCTATAACTAAAATCAAGAATCTCCTTTAGGAGATCTAACAAAGTATTAAAATAAATTCATAGGTAAATTACAAATTGTTACCAATCATTAACCATGAAGATCGTCTCATCACCTCCTAACATATCAACAGTGTCATCTCGTGGTACATTTATGAATAACAATGGTGTTAGCCTGTGACACATCAATGAATAACATCATGTCAGCCCATAACACATCAACGTATGTCATAGTGTCAGCTCGTGACACATCAATGAATAACACAGTGTCATCCTGTGACACATAAACAACACCACTTTCTCATTTCATTTGTTTCACCTGCACGTATAAATATACCATCTTGTGGTACATATGTATCTCTGTAACATCACAATATAAAAAATATAATATTTAATCATTCACATAATAATATAAGTCGCTTATTATAATACACAGTTATTGCAAACAACAAGTGTTAGAGTAGTGTTACTTACATGGTTAATTAGCAAACATATCAACTTCGGTCCTTGACCTACTCTGCTTTTCCAACTCCTCATATGCCAACACCTAACTAACAATTATCAAGTTCCTGAGAACTTGCCACAATTCACTACTCGCTATACTTTGTGACTATTTTTCACCAAACTTATTACACTCAATAACACAACCATAATAGGTTGAACTCGTAAGTCGTTAATTAAATCTACCACATCGGGAAACTTTAGTAAATTAGGGTTTACAACCCTTACAGTCCCAACTAACTATCTCACTGTAAGATTTATTTACAATCCTACCAACAAGTCCTTAATAGCACCTTATCACAAACATTCGTAACATATACTTGGGTCTAACAAATCTCGACAACTATCACATATAATTACACAATAACAGGGAAAACTCACCTACATAATCTCGTAAGTCAGCCTGTATCTCACATATATTGCTATAACTCCTCTGGTATAACATCCCGTAAACTACTATCGGGCAACATCTCCAATTATTTGTTTCAAAATCCTCCAAAAGACACCAAAAACTAAAATATTTATAGTCTAGATTGTTCACGCATTGACCATATAGGTTTCACGTCGTGGCAACCTGTTAAACCTCGTTCTCGTCACGTGTCGCACTCTCCAGCCATGTGACTCATCGACTCATAACATTTCATGTCGTGACAAACAT